TGATAATTTCAAATAGGAAAAGGTCCAAAGGTGTAGGGATGGTGGGAGGGGAAGGGGAAAGGGAAGAAGGAAAAGGAAAAATTATGAGAAAGAAAAAAAAAATGGAAACAAAGTCTATGTAAATAGGGAAGGGTGGAGGGGGTGAAGGGTGCACAGGTAATGGGGAAAGAATAAGAACTAAGATACATCATGTTCAGGTACAAGCACCCAATGATAAATGTAAATGTATTGTATACCTAAAAATTGTACCAATATCTTTATTGTACCAATAAAGATATTAAAAAAATAACCTGAAAACCAAGACCAGGCCAGGCCATAACAAAGCTTTATTGCAGGGACGATCTGCCAGGCTGTCTCTGAACAAAGGAGAGACAAAAGCAATATGGCCGGGATGGGGAGTGCTTCTTATAGGAGCTGGGGTGGGGTTGAGTGAGGTAGTGGCTAGGGACTGGAGGAGCCTGTGATGTCATTAGCTGTTAGGAGGAGAGCAAGTATTAGGTTATTCTTTTGGTGGGAATAGGGGCATGTTGGGAAGAAGAAGGTAGCTATTATATACAGCAGCCACCCTAAATCAGAGGGAAATCTATCACCCATAGGGATAACCTTGGGTAAATTTTGTCCTGAAGTTGCAGGCTTCTTTAAATTTTAAATTTAAATTTTCTTTGTCTCCTACCTGTCGTTTTTTTTCTTTTTCTTTTTTTTTTTTTTGGTACAGGGGATCAAACTCAGGACCATGTGCTTGTGAGGCAGGCAAGGAACCACTGAGCTAGATCCCTGACCCTATCTATCATTTTTTCTGTCCTACCTCAGGAAGACTGAATATCAGCACTGAGAAGTTCACTGAGAAGTTCTCTCTTACCTGAAGGATTTATCTATTCACATTTAATGTAGCTACTGATAACTTTATCCTGTTGTATGTTTCCTTTTTCTCCCTTTGTATTGGGTTGATTTCTTTTTATAATTTTCCTATTTTCTTCACTAATTTGTAGCTTCTTTTGAGTGTGTTTTTTGTTTGTTTGTTTGTTTGTTTTTTGCAGAACTAGGGCTGAGTCTCAGGACACTAATACTGAACTACACTCTCAGCTCTTTTCAAAAGTTTTGGGCCGGGGATTTAGCTCAGTCGTTCCGTCGCCTGCCTCAAAAGCACAAGGATCCGAGTTTGATCTCCGGTACCAAAAAAAAATCAAAAGTTTTTGTCGTTTTCTTTTTTTTTTTTTTTTTTTGTATCTGGGATCCAACTCGGGTCCTTGTGCTTGTGCAGTAGGCAGCGAAACCACTGAGCTAAATCCCCAGCCCCTCTTTTTGCATATTTTGAGACAGGTCTCACTAAGTTGCCCAGGCTGTGATCCCTGTGCTTCAGCTTCCCTAAGTGTTGGTATTTCATGTATGTGACACTGAGCCTACCTGTAGGTTCTTTGACTTATTACTCCAGGAATCTCAACATTCATGCTTATGAAGTCCACATTTATCAGTACTCTTACACTCTTCTCAAAGGATGATTCAATTCCACTCATCTTCTTAACTTAGACTTTTAATCCAAGGTATCACTCACATACATGTTTGTTTGTTTGTTTGTTTGGTACCGGGGATCGAACTCGGGTCCTTGCACTTGCACAGCAGACGGCGAAACCTCTGAGCTAAATCCCCGGCCTACATGTTTTATTTTAAAAATTTCTCTGACTTGTATTATGTTACTGGTGTTCATTTACATTTATTCAAAGCATTGTCTGATATAAGTAGTATTCAAAATAATAAATGGCTAGATCCTTTCAAAGTGAAACAAATCTGGACACCAATTAAAGGCAGCAAAGACAAATTTTATTCAGCAGTAACTATTGCAGTAGGCAAGAGAAGCCACTGTAAATGAGACTGAACTTTGAAAAACAAGATGCAGGAGGCTTTTGAAATGCTGAGGTGTGCTAAAGGAAAGACACTGAAACAGCCAGCTGTGGTGTTCCTGCCCATAATCTAAGCACTTGGGAAGCTGAGGCAGGAGGATTGCCATGAGTTCAACATCCAACATGGGAGTTCAACTCATGTACTTCAAAACCACCCTAAACCATATAGCATGACCCTGTCTTCTAAAAAGAGAAAGAAACTGAAAAGTGTGAAAGAGTTTTGTCCACATGATTAAACCATCTGGATTTTTACTAACATTTATCTAAGAAATAAGCTAAACTTTTTTCCTATCTTCCCTCTAATTTTCCAATTAAAGATTTCTGTCCTGTAAATTTATGCTTTAGTGTTAGTTTTCATTTCTACTAAAGCAAGGACCAATAGTAGCTAGCAGGCCTTCATTTTTCTGTCTGTCTCCTTTCTTAAAATATTGGATCAAGTGTATATTCAGCTCTGCACATCGACACGTTAATGTCATAAGGAGTATGTGTTTTAGTTTTGATTTCAATTGTTACTAAAAGCAAGGACCCATGCTACCTGGTGACAGCTTGAAGACTTCGGCAAAATTTTCAGATATCCAACTCCCAATTTTTACAATGTCTTGTTCCAGACACCTTGGGGCAGTGCCTACAAGTTTCCAGGCATTGTCCTAACCCCACAGCTACCTCAGATTCCAGGAAAAGCAGAGCCTTGCAGAGCACCCCCTGATGAGACCACTTCCAACACACAAACAAGAACACTCATCTTATGGGAATCAGATTGTCTCCTAAGGCCTTGAGGACTTCTCCAGAACCACCTTGCAGAACCAGTCCTGAGATAAAGATTGATCAGGCCCAGCTTGACCAGAATTACATACCTTCCCAATTATGCAAACATCCAACCTTTGCCCTTGTCCCCCACCACCACTTTTTTGTTTGTTTGTTTTTTGAGACGGTTTTGCACTGTAATTCAGGCTGGACTGAAACTCACTATGTAGCCCAGGCTAGTCTCAAACTTGCAGTGATCCTCCTACCTCAGCCTTTTGAGTGCTGGGATTACAGACATGTACCTGTGCACAATCCTAAAGTTCTTGTCAGTCCCTGGAAGACAGATTTTTTTTTCTTTTTTTTAGACAGGGTCTCACTATGTAGTTCAGGCTGGCCTTAAACTCACTGTGTAGTGCAGCCTGGCCTCAAACCTGTGGCAATCCTCCTGCCTCAGCCCAGGCTTGTGCCACCATGCCTGGCTGACAGATCTTGAACTCTTGTATCTGTACTTCTAGGATAGCCATGTTGATTAAAGCTCATTTCCTACCCTTCATCACTATTCATTTCCTTGATTGGTGTTTTGGGACCATTATTGGGGTTTGAGGTGCAGGAGTCTCCTGTGAGAGGTAGTTTCTGGGTTCTTTCTTTCTTGATCAAATAATTGGTCAAGACAAGTGCAACTCGTAGCAAGATTTTATATTTATTAAAGGTAGGAAAAGAAACAGGCTCTGCAGAGTGAGTTTGGGCCAAGTAAAAGTATGGAAAAAAAAAGAGTATACTTTACAGCATGAGAGTAGACTACTGTGAAAGAACATAATAGAGAGCTCAATGTGGACTTTCCTTTTTATATCATCCACTCCTCAGGCTGATGTCAGCCCTATTGAAAAATTGCTCAAGTTCTCACAAAAAGTCCATGTACAGGGCTTTGGGAACTGTTCTGGGAATACGTCCTGGGATTTTGTTCTTAACAGGTCACACCTACTTCTCCTGCCACCTTGGCCATTCCCTAATTGCCTGCCATGGTCTGTTGGGGCCCTAGGAGCCAGGGCTTTCACCATAAAACTCAAGTAACATTTTTGCATGTGTTCATCAGTGAGAGTGATCTAAATATTTTCTTTCTCTTGAGTATCCTTTAAAGGTCATTATCCACGTTTGTCTCATCTCATAAAATAGAGTATTTCTGACTTCTATCCATTTGTTTTTTGTTCCTTAATAAAGAAGTCATCTGATCTAGAATTGTCTTATTGGAAACATTTGTATAATGGATTAAATTTCTTTAGTAGAAATAGTACTCTTCAGATTGTTACACCACATAGCAGATTTTTCATTGCATGTTACTAGGAACTAGTTTCACCAAAATTTTCAAGTTTAGTGGTTTACATTACATAGGGAATCCTTTTACTTTTTAACACAATAAATGTAGTTCAGGCTGGGCTTGAACTATGTAGCCCAGGATGGCCTTAAATTCTCAACAATCTTCCTGATTCAGCTTCCTGAGTGCTGGTATTAAGGTGTATGCCACCATGACCAGCAACATCATATCCTTTGATCACTATCTGCCCTTCCACATCATGGTGTAGACCTATAATCTTAGCTACTCAAGAGGAGCCTGAGGGAGGAAAACCAAAAGTCCAAGTCCAACATGGCCAACTTAGCAAGACCCTATCTCAAAGTAAAATTTTAAAAGGGAGGGGCTGGACCAGTCTGAACCCCTGTATGAAAATGTGGCCCTACTACTGCTTTTCTATCTTCCTTCTAACTTTCCAATGACACCCCGCCGCCAGCTCCCGTAGCTTTGCACTTTAGTTTTCATTTCCAGTATTGTAGAATCCCAAGAGGCAGGAGAGACCAATGGGATTTAGGAGGATTTATTTCAGGTTTAAGGAGTACACCAGCTCAAGGGACTTCTGTCCAAAGGAAGAGCGTTTGAACAAAGAGAAGTTCCAGGTTTTACATATTTGATCAAAGAAGGATGGTCTTTCTAGTGACATGAAAGTGGGGGAGTGGCTAGTGAGGTTACAGACTCAAAGAGAAAGCAAGTTAGTCACTTCTCACACAAGGACAGTTTTGTTCCCTGTGAATCTTGTGAGAACAGGACATCATGAACTTGTTTACAGGACATAGTTGCCTGTATGTAAAAAATACATCTCATATGTATCTTTTGAGGGCATAAGTTTTCTTAAAGTTTGCAAAGACTTCATTTATAGGAATGTAACTGTCTGGCCTATTAATACCAGGGTGGAATCCCAGCCTTGAAGGAAGGCAGATTCCTGAGAAGTCAGGTGGTCACTGGACTCTGTTAGGGAGAATCTTCTTGTTTACCTTATTTGTAACAGATCAAGGAGTTGGGGGGGGGGTCCGTAGGGGACTGCCCAAGGCTTGTTTTTCTTAAGTCCTGCTTCTGTACTAAAGCAAGAACTCAGGGGCTGAGGATTTAGCTCAGTGGTTTCGCTGCCTGCTGCGCAAGCGCAAGAACCCGAGTTTGATCCCCAGTACCCCCCACAAAAAAGAACTCATCTAGCCAGTGAGATAACCAAAATTTAAAACTCTGCTTCAAAGTCCACCATTAAGAAAGTGAGAATGCAAACCAACCACGACCAGCTTGTCAGGTTTTTTTAAAGGTTACTTATAATAGGTTGGAACTACCACAGGGAACAAGGGGAGAATGTCTGGCCTCAGAAACTAAGATCTAATCTGGTTTCACTAGCATCTTCTATTCCACCTAGGACACATCCTCTTTTTGAGACAAGAGTTCAAAGTGTTCCAGGCTGGCCTCGATCTCGAGACCTTCCTGCTTCACCCTCCCGCATGCTGGGACTACAGGCTTGTGCCACCACCCCAACCGTGGGTACACCCTCTGAGACTCTAGCACCAGAGCAGGAGCTAGGCTCGCTGGCACTTGCCGGTAACCCTGCGCACTTCCTTGCCCATGCGCACTGCTAGTACACTGAGAATTAAAATCAGGCGGATCCCGGCGTTTGTGCAGTCCTTCCGGCTGCTTTCCCAGGAGGATTTTTGGACTCCGGCCTGGTTTTCCCACAAGCAACCGCGGCCCCGAATATTTAGGCTTGAACTACATTTCCCAGAGGGCTACGGGCGGGCCCGTTCTATGGCTTTCCTTCTTTCTTTGCGTGGTTTTTGCGCTTTTCAGGGTTAGTTGAACTTATTTCACTATACTGTAAACTAAAGGTGCTCGCTGACAAGACTCTGGGAAACCGGATTAAATTGGAGCTAGACCTGAATCCCCGAGGACTGGAAAAAGCCCTTCAAAGAATGGAACCCCGCAGTATGGACGGCTCGTTGTAAACCGGAATCTCAGGCCTGTGTATTCGTACAGCAGGTGAGCGTAGTTGTGTATCTGTGTATGTCAGATGGGAAATATAAGACATCGAGACAAACAGGCAGACAGAAAGTTGCGTGCGAGAGGGCTGGGATGTGCCTGCTCGCCTACATGCTTTCGCGACTGGCAGGTGAGTGGCTGTGCTCGCGTCACGGGGCAGTGAGGTACGTGTCCGTTACGTGTGCGTCGATTGCTGTGACTCTTGTGTGTCACTGTGATCCGTTGTAGGTTCCCTGCTGCTTCCTTTGCCCTCTTTCCTAACAGCCACTTGGATCTGACAGAGAAATGCCTGCAAGAAACGAAGTCAGATGCTGAAACCTAAATGAGTTTTGCATCAATCAGGCATTGCCTTGCTTTTGGATTGAGAATTTCTGAGACTTCTTTCTTTGGGAAATTTGAGGGCCAGCTAGCTAAGTATCTCAGAACCCCAGCCTTCCTAGAGCTCAGACTCCAGGAATCTGCATAAATTTACATAGGTTCCAGTATCCCTCCTGCCTTTGTCTGCTTGTGAACAAGGGGACTGTGGACCTGCAGTAAGTTGTAACTAAATCATACTCTCCAAGTACAGCCCATGACTCACGACTCCTTTCTCCCTCTCTTGTTCTGCCATTTCCCCAAAGAAGAACCCTGACATAAAGAATTGTTTGACATTTTAAAAAATCAGTGTTTAGGTTAGTTGGGTTTTGTTCTTGTTGTTGTTGGTTTATTTTGGTTTGGGGTTGTGGTGTTTCGTAGTACTGGGGATTGAACTCAGGGCCTGTGCACTGAGCTACATCTCTATCCCTTAAAAAAAAATTTTTTTTTAAATGTCGATACAGGGTCTCGCTAAGTTGAACAGGCTGAGATCAAATCTTCTAAACCACCTAATTCAGTCCCTAAATTAGAATTAGTCACCCACCTTCAACAGTAAATAAGTATAGATTAAAAAATTATTTATATGGACTGTCTTGTTGGGTTTAATCTATCCTATTTTAATTATACAATTTTTTCCTGTAATGATTTTTGAACTGGGATCTTTGCACTGAGTTATTTTCCTAACTCTTATTTAGTTTTTTATTTTGAGAAAGGGTGTCACTAAATATCCACATTGCCCAGCCTGTGACATCAGAGCCTGGAACATCAGTGCTCCACAAATATTAACTGTTATGTCATAATTCTATACCCTTCAGAGTTTAGTAATAACATATGAAAGCAATTGATGATTATTTGCAAATTATGAAAATTACCAGGAGCTTCAATGGGTAAAGAACAAGGATTCTTTATCAATCTTCAGCCCTTTGATTGCTCTTCTGGTTCCAAGAAATTCCAGACCATTAGAATTCAGAAGTGTTATATATTCTTGAGATTATCAAAGGTAAACATGACTAAAAAGATTTAGAGCTATTGATTTAGAAACAAAACAGTAATAGTAGAGATGATTATATAAAATGAGGATCATGAGTTTGAGGCGGCCAACTTGGGCCACATAGTGAGACCCTACTTTTTAAAAAAAAAGCAAATCACATTTTGTACTACATGCATAGAAGAGATAATACCACACTGAGTTTAGCATTGTGGATTAGGCCTATGGTCCCAGTACTTCGGAGGCTGAGGCTGAAGGATCCCTTGAGTTCAGGAGTTTGAGACCAGCTTGGGAAACATTAACTCAGAAACAAATAGATAAATAAATAATATACAGCTAATAAAATTGTGCTTTATAAAGATTGTTACGATTAAAAATATATTGGCTGGGGATTTAGCTCAGTGGTACTGTTGCATGCCTCACAAGTGCAAGGTCCTGAGTTCAATCCCTGGTACCAAAAAAAAAAATTAAAAATATGTAGTATTAAGCAATATTCGTTGCCATAAAGAGTACTACTTAAGAGTGTTTTAAAGTTATATATGATGTCATTTATCAAAATAAGGTTATGTTAGACATTTTTGCAAGGTTTTTTTTGGTACCGGGGATTGAACTCAGGACCTCTCGATTGCCAGGCGGGCACTGTGCCACTGAGCTAATCCCAGCCCTATATTTGCAATAATTTTATCAAAGTGATATTTAATAGTATTTTTGTGGAGATTTCTATGTCCACATCTAAGAATCTGCTATATACAAAATTCTTTTCTGCTGAGTGTGGTGGCTCATGCCTGTTATCCTAGCATTTGAGAGATGAGGCAGGAGGATCACTGGGAGTTCAAGGCCATCCTGGGCACATAGTGAGTTCAAGACCAGCCTGAACTACATAGCAAAACCCTGTCTCAACAAACAAACAACAAAAACACTCCTTTCTGTTTGCTTTTTATGTATTCTTTCACTCCGTTAATTTCACTTATTTGAACTATATTCATTCACAGAAAATCTTGGTAACTGAAGGTTATATACTGATAACTAAAGGTTGTCCAAGAAATGGTAGGTATTATTTATTTCAATCACACTGCTTTTCCAATTTAGTACTGAAGTTCACAGTTTTCTTAACAAGTATGCTTCCTCATAATTTTATTGTTTATTTTAAGAAATATTTTGGATATTAGTGATGCTCTGTTTCAAGGTAGGAAGTAAATAAGCCTCATTGAAGAAAAATCCAGAAACCTGAATAACTAGTGAAATTAGAAAGTTAAAGTTACTCATACTCTTCCCCTCCTTCCATGGTAAGTATGGGGTATGCTTTTCTAATTTTTATGTAAGCATATATTGTGGGGGCAGGGCCGGGGATTTAGCTCAGTGGGTCTGGCGCCTGCCTCAAAAGCGCAAGGTTCCAAGTTCAATCCCCGGTACCAAAAAAAAAAGAAAAAAGAATATATTTTGGGGGCAAATCATTTTATTGGGAGACTTGGAGGTGGGGAGAACAGGCTGAAAAGATGCTGAAGACAATGAGATCTGACATCCTTGGCAGGGCTGGATCTGTCCAGTTCCCCCATTGCCCAAAACCCTAAGTATATATTTTTGCTTAAATATCTGCAAAATAAAATCATCATACTTTATCTCCATTTGAAAATGAAATCCTGGGTTTTCCTTATGCCATGTACCTGTAAGGAAAAGGAAGGCTGACGATCACCTTTTCATGTGAAAACACTTCTGTTTTCCCATTAGCCTGATCATAGCTGTGTAAGTTAAAATCAATTATCGGTTGGGAGGTTTGGCTTAGTGGGAGAGCTCTGGTTTAGAGCTTGGTTTGATACGGAGCATTGAAAAAACATTAGGTTATCTGTAAAAGAAGTTATCAACTAAGATAATACATAGAACTCAATTTTTTAAAAAGGAGATTAAAGGCCAGACATCATGGCATGTGCCTGTAATCCCCAGCAGGAGGATTGCTGCAAATTCGAGGCCAGCCTGGCCAACATAGTGAATTTAAGGCCAGCTTTGAACTATATAGTGAGACCTGGCCTCATAAATATATAAATAAATAGATAAGTAGAAGGCCATTTCATAGAAGATAGAAATAATCTCTGGTGTCTAGGTGCTTTAAGGTGTCTATTGTGTGAATATTTCCAGTGATAGATTTGTACCAGCAGAAATGTAGAATAGAGAGTAAAAATAAGGAATAGTCAAATCTCTGGGGACCTGGGACTTAGCTCAGTGGTGCTGAGTCTGACTTGCAAGTGCAAGGTCCTGAGTTCCTTCCCCAGTACTGGGCGGGGTGTGTGTGTATGTGTGTCTGTATTGTACACAGGAACAGGATTTAGGCTCCTGTTAAATTCTTAATTTGGCCCCTTGTCTGATCACATTCTCTGAGCCACATTAGGTTACTAAAATGTTTTCTTTAGCTGCCAGAGAAATGGAAAAGGCACATTTTCTCCTTATGTGTTTAAGAATCTTCTTTTGTTTTCTGAGGACAATTTTATGCTTAAACTCAGGTTTTGACATTCTTTAGTTACCATTATGAGAATAATGGTGTGGGAATTTAATTTTATAAAAAACAGAATTAGTAGAATTATGGTTTGTTTTTTTTTTGTACCAGGGATCAAATTCAGGTCCTTGCGGTTGCAAGGCAGGTGGCAGAACCACTGAGCTAAATCCCTGGCCAGTGTTTTAAAGTAGTAAATTGAGGGATTTCTAAGGTTCTGTACCTCAAATAATAGCTAACTTACCTTAAAGCAATTGTTTCACTACATTTTTTTGTTTATGCTGTACTAGGAATTGAACTCTGGGCCTTGCCACTGAGCTACATCCCTAGCCTTTATTATATTTTATATTTTTTAAATTTTGAGATAAGGGTCTCGCTTAGTTACCCAGGCTGGGCTTGAACTTGAGACTGATCTCCTGCCTCAGCCTTTTACAATGCTGGAATTACAGGTGTGCACAACCATGCCCAGCTTATTAAATATTTCATATGCACTATTTTACTTCTTCAGACTTTTTATATGCTAGATGATATTCTTTTCCAATTTACCAATGAAATTTTAAGACACTAATGTGTCAAATATCAGAGTTTAAATCTGAAAGTCATGTCCTAAACGGTTGACAGCAATCTGTATTCGTTACCTTAAGAGACCACCTCTTAAGGTGGTCTTAATTTAATTTAACCTTAATTTAATTTAACTTAATTTAACCCTAAATATTACTAATTTTTAAAACCTACCTGCCACATTCAGTAATTCATCATAAGTCCCTTTTCATTATGTGTTGCAATAGACCAATATAATTATTAATACTTGCCATATACTACAACATAATTTTTTCAACCTGTAGACTGATGTTAGACATGTTTCATAGGTCTTTATTAAAATTTTTTTAAATTTTTGAGACAGGGTCTCCCTGTATAATTCAGGGTGACCTCAAACTCACTATGTAGCCCAGGTTGGCCTTGAACTCATGGCACTCCTGCCTCAGGCTCCCATGCGCTGGGATTACCAGCATAAGCCACCACACCTGATGACAAATCAGACATTTAATTGAACCTACAGTATATATAACCATGTGAAATTGGGTGATGCAGTAACTAGTGCAGTACTTAGTTGTTACTTTTATTTTATTTTATTTTATTTTTTGTTACCGGGGATCGAACTCAGGTCTTTGTGCTTGCGTAGCAGGCAGCGAAACCACTGAGCTAAATCCCCAGCTCTTAGTTGCTACTTTTAAAAGCTAACAGTCCAGCAAGAAGCATAAACTATGAATAAGATAAAGTCACTGTATAATAAAGACCACTAAAAAGATTCAAGTAATATATACCTTGGGAATTCACATCATTGGCTGTATTCTAGCCATCTCTATAAGGTATGAACAAGTATGACTGAGCCAGTGGAATTTGTGTGGAGGTAAGTGGAATTCTGTAAGCTCTTGACTTCTGCTTTTTTTTAAAAAGTGAGATTAATGGATTAAGTAGGTTTAGCAGTTGTCTAGAAGATATTATAGCTAAGTGACAAAATAAACTTGCCTTTTAACACACATTTGTGCATACATATGTACACATGTATATTTTTAAGTTATTTTGTGACCAGTGTTATAATTATGGAGTGTGTGTATATGTGTATGTATGTGTGTGTGTATATATATATATATATATATATATATATATATATTTTTTTTTTTTTGGTACTGGGAATGGAACTCAGGACCTTTCGCTTTCAAGGCAGGCGGCAGTACCACTGAGCTAAATCCCTGGCCCAATTATGGAGTATATTTAAAACAACATCAAGATCACAACTAAACAAGTAATTATAACAGGATTCTGTAATATAACAAAATAAATTACCAGACCTTTTGAATATATTGATGTCATATGATCTATCTCTTTGTGATATAATCATTTTGTATTCTATTTTTAATCTTAATTTTCTAATGACAGAATATCTGAAATATTTTCCATTTCCTTAAATATGTTTCCCTGCTTGCATTTAATGACTACTTTGCATTCTGTTACATGTATGTTCCTAACACAGAACCAGGCCTATGCAATTTCTTCTATGTTGTGTTACCTCCCATTTATTGACCAACTTCAGCTGATGAGATCCCATGAAAGAGGTGCTGCTTTGAATTATGAGTCCTGAAAGACAGAGAGCCCCAGTCTCAGGTTCGGATCTGGCATCATGCAGAAGTGACTGTGTACTCTGCAGCTATCTTTGTGTAGCTGGGTTTCTAGGGGTTAGAGGACAACTCAGATCCATCTTCTATTTCCCTCTAAATTATATGTGTAGCTATAGGGGACTAATTTTGGAAGAAGAAATAGAAAAGCAGAAAGATTTTAATTAGGTCATATTAGAAACATTAAAACGTTCTTTCTTCTGTCAGTTCTAGATTCTTAGGAGTTTAAATTTTTCCAGCAGTGGACCATTGAGGAGGACTAATCAGATCTTACATCTCTGAAACCATGATCTGTGTAAGTTGATTGTTTTTTCTGTTTCCTTGCAATATTAAGATTTTAAGTAAGGTAGATTTTTACCTAAGCTTCCTACTTCAGAAGCCCTCATTCAGTTCTCTCCTCTTTAGTTTCTCCTAATGGAGTGAACAGTGACAGCAAATAACTTGATTTCCTGAGATATCCACAATAAAATGGGTTTTTACACAGCCAGTAAAAAATTTATTTGTGGGCTGGGGATTTAGCTCAGTGGTTCTGCCACCTGTCTCGCAAGCACAAGGCCTTGAGTTTTATCCCCGGTGCCAAAAAAACACACCTTTATTTGTGAAAGCAAAAGCACTTATGCTGTGCCCTGACATAAATGGTGAGCTTGAAGCTTGTGGAATCTAGATTTTTTTTTTTGCCAAGTTTTTTAAATTTTTATTTTTTAAAGCTTTTTAAAATATGGAGATATTTATATTAAATTTGGGAAGGACTGATCTTTTTTTTTTAATGTAAAAGGGAAAATAGTTTAGAAATTAACATTTAGTGGAAATTTCTGCATCATGCCACTAACAAACTGGTTGTCTCTAATACTTTATTGAATACAGAAACTTGAATTTTATTTTATCCATTCCTCAGGAAACCTAAACTATTGTGGCAATCCCTGACATACAGAAAGGTTTGTCTGCAGTGATAGCATTCTTCAGGAATAGTAGACATCCCACTTTAGTCTACTACTGCTCATTAGTCACTTGTACTGTATCATATCTTTCTTCTCATGTCTCCGTTTATTGTCTTTCCTTCTTGAAAATATTTCTTCAAATGTCATAATATATGTGTTTATAGTTTCAGGAATTAGTGACATTCGGGGACGTGGCCATAGACTTTTCTCAACAGGAGTGGGAATACCTGGACCTTAGACAGAGGGACTTGTACAGGGATGTGATGCTGGAGAACTACAGGAACCTCGAGTCTCTGGGTAAGTGTATTTGCTGTAAGTAAATTAAAATGTGATCTGTGATATATTACCTTTCAACACAAGGAATTCCAAAACTATATTTGTTTCTAGAGGACAATCTGAGGTCTACCAATGACACTGGATCTGCCGTTAAGCACTATCATCTTCCCTATCATTTAGTGATATTCACATCTCCTTCTGACTCTTATAAGTGCCTCCCTTATTTAATATCCAAGGGTCTAGATTCCACATTAAAATTCTGTGTATATAGTGAATAACCATTGCGCAGGAATCCTGGTTTCCCATTATATTCCAGAAATTCCTGCAGATGTGCTATGTCATCCTCTGGTTGCACCACAGGACAACAGTTAGAGGCATATTCCTGATTTTCTCTGAGTATGAGAAGGGCCTCTAAATTATACAGCAGTGGGTGGGATGAACAGTCAGTGGACCTTTGATTTACAAACTCAATTTGTTCATGAGGGCTGGTTGTAACTCAAGTTGGTTGCAAGTCAAGACTTTTTCCCATAAATAGTAGAAATACCCATAATGCATTCCAAACCTCCCAAAGAACCTCTTAACTAACCTTTTCATAATAAAAAGGGTTGTATAATATGCATAATTTACCAGAAACACCAATAATTTTCCTATTGTTTTTACCAAAAAGTTCTAAAATGTGCCTAGTTTACTAAAAACAACTTCATACTGTACTCATCATTCAAGTTGACATCTTTGGCTTGCAGGAAGGGAGGATGAAATGGAAGGTGGTTATTGTTTGGATGGAGAGTCCTCTTCTATAAGAACATCAGGAATCTGGCTCTCTGGTGAGCCTATAGCCCACTAGAACCTGCTTCTGGCTCACTAGGTCTCAACCTTTTTCAAAACTAAAAACTGGTCTAAGGTTGTCTATTTCTGTCTTTTCTTTAACATTGTTATGTAGTATGACATGACACTGTCATTAAGCAAGTGAATGCAACTATTGGCTTTTTCTCTGTCTGGGTGGGTCTTCTCTACAAATATTTGTAGCTCTGTCCATTCTTTCAGGATTTCCTTTATTTCAGAAGAACTTTGCTGCACTGATTGTTGATACTTCCCCTCCTCTTCAGAAAGCTTCTCAGCTGCCAGTTTCTGTTGCTTAGCCAGAAGGTGCTGAAGTTCCTTTGTAGACAATTCCTCTAAGTATTCCTCTACCAGTTCCTTAACATCACCACTGTCTACCTGCAAGCCTATGGACTCCTCTATAGTGATAGTGTCATCAACTACAGGGTCAATTGAAGGCTCAGACTCCTCTATACAGTCTTCAAAGCCTCTCTCCTGTATAATTCTAGGCCACACTTTCTTCCAGGCAGATCTCAGTGTCCTTAGAGAGACATTGGCCCAGGATTTCTTAATTAACCCCACACAGGAAAGGATGTTGTAATGTTTCTTCCAGAACACTTTAAGGATTAAATCTGTATCTGAGACCATCTGGAAGCACTTCAGAAATGTTCTGTGGTGTATAGCTTCTCAAGGTTAGCTATAATCTGTTGGTCCACAGGGTGCAGTAGAGGAGTTGTATTCAGTGGGAGGAACTCAACTGAGAGCCATAGGAATTCTTCAGCTAATTCTTCCAAATTTCATGGGTGAGCAGGAGCATTGTGCATGATAAGGAGAGCCTTGAGTGGTAAACCTTTATCCTCTAGCTATTTCTTAACAGAAGAAAAGAAAGCCTCCCTGATCCACTCAAGAAAAAGTACTCTTATTACCCAGGCTTTTGCATTAGATCTCCACATGACCCCTAGCCTAGTCTTCATGTATGTATGTTTTCTGAACACTCTGGGGGTTTCAGAGTGATAAACCAAGAGAGGCTTTATTGTGAGGTCACCACTCACATTGGGACATAACAATAAGGTTAGCCTGTCCTTCATAGGCTTGTGTCCTGGCATTTTCTTCTCTTCCTGGGTAATGTATCTTCTCCTGGGCATTTTCTTCCAGAAAAGGCCAGTTTCATCACAGTTGAAAACTTGGCGAGAGCAAAAGCCATTTCTCTTTGTCATCCTTTCAAAGTGGTGTATGTAATTTTTCAGCAGCCCTTTTATTAGCACTGGCTGCTTCACCATGCCTAGTTACAATGTGAATCCCAGTTCTCCCTTTAAAATTGTGAAACCACCCCTTAGTGGCACAAAATGTTTCACCATTATCACTCATTGATGGGTTATCCTTTATGATATCTGTATTTATAGCCCTAGCTTTTTCACAAATTATAGACTCAGGATATAACCTGCCATCTGCCTTTCATTTATCCACACTAATAATAGTCTTTCTACTTCGTCTAACACTGTTGATCATGACTTACTATGTAATTTGAGTGACACATTTAGCAACATTAGCTTCCTTATACAAATCTTTTCTCTGTAAGATTGTCGAGATGGTGGATTTCAATGTGTTGTACCTATTAGCAAGATCACTCATGCAAATGCCCCTCTCATATTTCTCCACAATCTCCTTTTTTATTGTGATTGCTTTCTTTATCTTCCCTTCCTTCCTTAGCTTCTTTTCTAGCTTTTGGGGACCTTTTTTTTGGTACTGGGGATCAAACCCAGGTCCTTGCGCTTGCAAGGCAGGCAGTGGAACTGCTAAGCTAAATCCCCGGCCCATTGGGGGCCATTTTGATAGCAGTAATCATAGAAATTATATAAAGCTCTGATCAAAATCAGGTCCACAAACACACGCATCTGGGCTCACTGACACTTACATATGCTTATATATGCTTTTCTGGTATCATGAACCTTTGTTTATAACCGTGTGAGTGGCTAGCATTTGGGTTGTAACTCAAGACTTTGGTCGTAAGTTAAAAGTAAAATGCCAGTCGTAACCCAAGTTGTTCGTATGTGAGGCTGGTCATAACTTGACAGTCCACTGTTCATTTAAAATGAAAGAACCACATCTCATTTCCTGCAGTGAATTTTTATGACTTACGGTTGAAAGTTTCAATTCATGAACTTTGCATTTAATGTGGAATGAAAAATTTGTAAGCTGATCAGGATACCTTTTTTCCTTTTTTTTTTATCCTGGTGCACAGGATTAAACCCAGAGCCTCAAGCAAGTCCTCTACCCCTGCCCTTGTTTTAACTTTTATTTTGAGACAAAGTCTCAAATAATAAGCTCCCCAGGCTGGCCTCAAATTTGGAATCCTCCTGCCTCAGCCTCCCCATACCTGAGATCACAGGTGTGTACCACTACACCTGGCAGAATGCTTCTTGTTATGCTCTTATGGAAATAATATTTTATGTCCCAGGCACTCTTCTGAAAAAAAAAGTAGGTAATCATCAAGTAACTGTATTATAGTAGTGTAATATAGCCAGATAAATTGCCAACACTATGGAATAGTGAGCTGAAGTGACATGACCAAAGTCCTAAGATTGGTAAATTTAGGAGAAATAATTTGTGCCCCAGCTGTCTGCCTCTAGAGACGTTTACATTGTTAAACTTTCTCTTCAGAGACAGATCCTGGCTGAGAGTGGTAGCACATGCTTATAGTCCCAGCTACTCAAGAAGCTGAAGATCACTTGAACCTAGAAGTTTGAGTCCAGCCTGAACAATACCGTGAGAGCTAACCAAGAAAAAAAAAAAAAAGGACTTTAAAATAAAGTTTCACCATACCTGTCTTATTTCTTAAATTATTTCATCCTCCATGAATGTGGGGTAGGGGGCACTAGAGATCAGACCTGGGGACAACTCTAACCTCTGAGCTACATCCCCAACTCCTTTAAATTTTTTTTTTGTTTGTTTGGAAGCTGGGTGTGGTGGTGCATGCCTATAATCCAAGCACCTGGGAGGTTGAGGTAGGATTGCCCCCAAATTTGAGGCCATCTCAGGGCTACCTAGAAAGACCCTGTTTCCAAAAGGCCTCATTCAGAATTTTAAAATTTGGAGACAGAGTATTAAGTTGCCCAATCAAGACTTGAATTTTTGGTCCCCCTGCCTCACCCTTTTGAATAGCAGGGATTATAGGCCTGTGCCATTACTGCTGGTTCTGTCTTTTATCTAAAGTCTTTATCAGTAACATCAGCCATTAGCTCATTGCAAATTTAACTAAAGCTCAAAGGTTTCTGTATTTTTATTTTTATGTCATTTCTTTTCTTTTGAACAGGACATTCCATTTCTAAGCCAGATGTGATTGATTTATTGGAGCAAGGAAAAGAGCCCTGGACAGGTAAGGAAAGCAGAAAGAGCAGTCAGAGCTACAACAGCCTGCTTGATAAGGGAGAGGAGATACTTGTTTGTATTATTGTTCATCAAGCCCCCTTCCAAGGTACCAAGACTTGTGAAACATAAGCCTGTGACCGCAGGAGAAAATAAAAGATCTCAACATGAGCTATGGAAGGAGCTTCAACTTTGCCCTATTTACCAATCACCCTACTTCTCATATTTCAAACCCATTTTCTGTGATGGGGCTTTCTTTTTATTTTGTGCTATTTTAACTATTTTGGGTTCACTGGCTTTTCAGCTCCCCTTTTATATATACATAAACACACAGACACAGTATAGAGGTAGTAAATAAAACTTATAAGATCCTGGCTTGTATGGAATTTACATTATACTAGAGTGAGTAGATATGAAAATAAATAGGTAAACAACATTAGATAGTGGATTGAGCTAGGTTGGAAAGTAAACAAAAGTTGGGCCATTTAATTTATTTATGCATTCACTTGTTTAGTAGGACTGAGGACTAAACCCAAGTCTTTGTCCTGAGCTACATTCCTAGGGCCGCCCCCCTTTTCTGTTTGGGTTTTTTTTGGTACCGGGGATCGAACTCCGGTCCTTGCGCTTGTACAGCAGGTGGTGAAACCACTGAGCTAAATCCCCGGCCCTTTTTTTTTTGGTACCGGGGATTGAATTTAGGACCTTGCGCTTTCAAGGCAGGAGACAGAACCACTGAGCTAAATCCCTGGCTCTAAAGTTCTTTATTTTGAGACAGGGTCTCACTAAGTCACTGAGTTGCCCAAGCTGGACTGGAATTTGTGATACTCCTGCTTCAGTCTCCCAGGGTACCGAGATTACAGGTCTGGGCCACCATGCCCAGTTAGGTTAGGCCATTTTAAATATGAAGGCTGGGGATGACTTCTCTGGAATGGTAATATTTGAGAAGGGATATGATGTTGGGACACAGGCCTTGTGTTTATGTGGGGAAGAATATTCCAAGCTGAATAAAGACTTTAGAAAAAGATTGATGGGGCAACCAGGAGAAAGAATGTGAAGAGTACAGCAAGAGGAATGGGGAGAGTTTACATGAGTTAGAGAATACCAAATAGACCATAGTAGAGACCCTGAAAGGAGACTGACAAAAAAAATGAATTTAGAGATGACTATTGTGGCACATTCATTTAATCTCATCAATGAGAGGAGAATGCAGAGGGATTCCAAGTTCAAGCCAAGCCTAGGCAACTTAGGGAGACCCTGTCTCAAAATAAAAATATAAAATGGGTTGGGGATGTACTCAATGCAAAGGCCTTAGGTTCAATCCCCAGTACAAAAAAAGAAGAATTTAGGGCTGGTGATGTAGTTCAGTAGTAGAGTACCTGCCTGTCAAGTCCCTGGATTCAATCCCTTGTACTGCCAAAAGAAAAAATAGAATTTTTACTGTTAAGAGTCAGATCACATGAAGTGTTGTTGAATTTGAATTACTAGTAATAAGAGTGAAGAATGCTTAGAATCAATGAATTTGTTTTTTATTTAAATTAAGGCATTTCAAAAAATACTGGAGGACATAAAATAATAACTGTGTCACTACACCCAGGTCAAGAGTTAAAACATTTTTTAACTCCTTTAATAAAATTTGAGAGTTATAGAAAGGTTATAGTAATGGTATACCAGATTCTTTTATACTGTTCAAGCACTGTTTTTAAACAAAGAGAAGCTTTAGAGTCAAATTTAAAGCCCTTCCTATGTCTCCACCCAGTCACCATCTTATCCCTCTTGCTAAGGGTAACCACTGTTGTGATTTCTTTTTCTTTTCTTTTCTTTTTTTTTGCCATGCGGGGGATGTGCAATGGCCTTGCACATCCCAGGAAAGCTCTGTAGCACTGAGCTATGCTCTCAGCTCCACTATAGTGATGTTTATTTGTTTTTTTGAGACAGGGTCTCACTATGTAGTTCTGGCTGGCCTTGAACTCACTATTTTGCCCAAGCTGGCCTTGGACTCACAGTGATCCTCCTACTTCACCCTCCCAAGTGCTGAGATTATAGATGTGGTTCACCAGGCCCAGTTTAGATCTAAAAGTCTTTATGGTTAGATGAAACACCAGAAATAGGAAGAAAATAACACCACACAGGAATAGCTCATCCTGAACAATGTAGTGGTCCCAGCTAATACATTTGATGTGGTTTCTTTGCCCCTTTATGTTCTTTGAATATGGTTATGGTGTTTGTAGGATTGGAGGCAACAAACCTTAGATGATTGGTGCTGGATAAAGGAGCCTCATTTTTTATTATGGCAGTTTGCTATTGTTGTAACATGGCAATTGGGTTGAATACAGTTACAATTAAAGTACAGTAGTAATGTACTACTTCTTCCTGGAATGTGCATTCCGATGATTAGATACTGATGTCAGTATCTTGAATATTCCTGAATGAGCAGTGTTTGGTACTGCTTCTCTTTGCAGTGGTGCTGTGTTTTGGTTATGGTCCAAAGCTTTGAAGCATCTCCCTTCTTCAGTGAACCTCTCACCATTCAAACCTGACAGATTTGAAAAAATACTCAATTATTTCTGTTTGAATCCTTTTCCCCAATATTTTTTTTTCCCCAATATTGTTTTGGGTTTTTTTTTCAACCCCAGACTTTTTTTTTTTTTTGGTACTAGGGATGGAACTCAGGACCTTCCACCTGTGAGGCAAGTGGCAGAACTACTGATCTAAATCCTTGGCCCTGCCTCAGACTTTTTTTTTTTTTTTTTGGTACTGGGGATCAAACTCAGGACCTTGCGCTTGTGAGGCAGGCGCTGGAACCACTGAGCTAAATCCCTGGCCCTACCTCAGACTTTTAAAAAATAGTTTTTAGCTGATGTTCATGAAGAGAGTGAGTACTTATAAACTATGCTGCTAATGTAAGGAAATCTTATCTAAGAAAGTGCATTTCCTTACAGAGCTGTATTATACCATCCTTTGGACCTTCTGCTGGAAAAGTGGTATCAAATCTAAAATAATGCCTTTTTAATTGTATCTTCTAGTATTATAGATATAGGATAGTACTGTATCATACCTCTGTAAATATAAAATATCTTATATCTGCTTTATGATACATAGTAGTGACTGTGCTTTGTCAGAGCTATTTTTAATGATGTTACTCTAGAACATTTTCTTTCCAGATGATGATTCAGAAATTAATAAAAACAAAAAAAGTACCAGGTACCACAATAGTAACAGAACTTTGCTGTTTTCTAGGGGTTTGGTTTTTTTTTTTTTTAATGGAGTATGCTAGATATCTTTATAATTTTGATCATACGACTACAGAACCTGGAAAAGCTGTTATGCTATTGATGCAGAACATACTATTATTGAGATATACATAGACAGAGTCTGCCAAAAAAATGTATACACACTTCAGCAGTTCACCGTACTAATAAATATCTGAAGATCATGGTCACCACTTTGAGCACCTTTTGTAATTGTAGAGGCCAAAGGTAACTTGTATTAATCTCATGATGTCTCAATAAATTTAGTATTAAAATATTTTATACAAGTTTTTCTTTTCCTGAAATGTGTATACATTTTTTGGCTCACTCTCTCTTTCTCCATATATGTGTGTGTGTGTGTGTGTGTGTGTGTGTGTGTGTGTGTAATATAAATATGATTTTTGGAAACTTGAGCTGTGCTGTCAGCTTTGGAAATAGTATCCCAGTTTATGGTGTTGCTGGCATTGTGCAGAAATTAACAGCCATGTTGTCTAGAAACTTAACTTTTTTCCATTTGGGAAAAATACAGTAATGCACTGTATTAAATATGTAGCTATGTCGGTTTGAGTACAGGAGCTAATAAAATATTGTCTAAATAATGACAAAAAAACCTAAGCAGTGCCTTTAGTTCCAGGTACTTGGAAGGCTGAGGAGGAAGATCATTTAAGCCCCACAGTGAGACCCTATCTCAAAAAAAGAAAAAACACCCTAAAAACCAGAAAAATCTAATCAGTTAACATTATAATGTTGATAGTAGTAAATGATAAACTTTATTCATATTTCACCAGTAACCTCAGCACTCTGGGACACTGAGCCTATCACAAGTTCAAGCCCAGCCTGAGCAGCTTACCAACTTAGTGAGACCCTGTCTCAAAATAAATTTTAAAAGGCTGAGTATTGTAGCTCAGTGCAAAAGGTCCTCTGTTTACTTCCCAGTACTGAAAAACAAACAGCAAAAAAGTGCCAAGGTGAAAGGATTCTTGGGAGATTAAATAATCCATGGAAAATAGTAAGTGACAGGAAAAGTTGTACTATATTCTAGTTAGGGAATATAACAGAAGATAGCAAAAGCATTATTGTTTTGACATGAGGCTTCATAGGTAAGCAAGAGTTCTGCTGTTCTTGGAAAGGGGCTTGAATTTTATTCTAAGAATAAAATTGCTAGAAAAATGTAAGGGACGTATTCTTAAACATCAGTCTGCATCTACATTAGTGATAGGTTCAAAATAATGATGTCAGGGTTTTTCTCTTTAATTCTAATTCATCTGGCCTCTAACAATGTCAAGACATCAGATTTATAATAAACGTCAAAGATTCTGACCCACACCCTAATATTACCGATGTCGTTATTCAGTAACCTTCTGGGTTATATAAATTCTCATACATTTCTGAATTCTTGGCCTTTTACAAATTCTATAACTGTATTTTAGAATTCTGTAAGCCATTCACTTATGAGTGTTGCTTCTTATTTTTATATGTTTCATGTTCTGTGATATAGAATAGAAATATTTTTTGTTGTTTCAGGTTTGGATTTACAGTATAAGATAATCAGCTATCTAAAAATGCCCACTTATGAAAAGGATAATTCTTCTACACGACGCCAGAACATATATACCAGAGAGAAACTCTATAAATGTACAAAATGTCAAAAGAAATTTAGTAGTGGCCATCAACTTATTCTGCATCACAGGTTTCATATTGAGAGACCCTACGAGTGCAAAGAATGTGGGAAGAACTGTCGCAGTGGCTATCAACTGACACTACATAAGAGATTTCATGCTGGTGAGAAACCCTATGAATGTACAGAATGTGGGAATAACTTTAAAAGTGGCTATCAGTTTACTGTACATCAGAGATTTCATAGTGGTGAGAAAACATATGAATGTCAAGAATGCGGCAAGGCCTTTATTTATTCCTCACACATCATTCAACATGAGCGAATTCACACTGGTACAAAGCCTTATGAATGTCAGGGATGTGGCAAAGCCTTTAGTCAAGTTGGCCACCTTAGAAATCACCAGAGAATTCATACTTGTGAAAAACCCTATAAATGTAAGGAATGTGGGAAGGCTTTTAGTAGGTGCTCCAGTCTTGTTGAACATAGGCAAACTCATACTAATGAGAAACCATATGTGTGTGAGAAATGTGGGAAGGCTTTTAGAAGAGATCATCAACTTATTGCACATCAGAGTATTCACACTGGCAAAAAACCATATGAATGTAAAGAATGTGGGAAAGGCTATAACACTGCCTCATACCTTATTCTACATCAGGAAATTCATAAAGGTGGGAAACCATATGAATGCAAGGAGTGTAAAAAAACTTTTATTTTATATAAGAATCTTGTTCGACATCAGAATCTTCATACTGGTGACAAACTTGAATGTAGGCAATGTGGAAAGATCTGTACAACTGGCTCAAAACTTTTTCAACATCAGAAAACTCATACTGATGAGAAACCCTATGAATGTAAGGAATGTGGGAAGGCTTTTAGCTTGTATGCTTACCTCAGACAACATCAGAAAATTCATCTTGGTTTGAAATGCTTTGAATGTGAGAGGTGTAAAAAAACCTTTAGTTCATATAGGAATCTAACTCGTCATCAGAATATTCATACAGGTATGAAACTTTTTGAATGTCAGGAATGTGGAAAGGCCTATACTACTCGCTCAAACCTTGTTCAACATCAGAAAACTCATACTGGTGAGAAACCCTATGAATGTAAGGAATGTGGAAAGGCCTTTAGCTTGCATGGATACCTCAGTCAACATCAGAAAATCCATCTTGGTATGAAACGCTTTGAATGTAAGGACTGTAAGAAATCCTTTACTTTGTATAGGAATCTTACCCGTCATCAGAATATTCATACTGGTAAGAAACTTTTTATATGTCAGGAATGTGGAAGGGCCTATACTACTCGCTCAAACCTTGTTCAACATCAGAAAACTCATACTGGAGAGAAACCCTATGAATGTAAGGACTGTGGGAAGGCCTTTAGCTTGCATGGATATCTTAATCAGCACCAGAGAATCCATACTGGTGTGAAACCCTATGAATGTAAGATATGTAGAAAAACCTTTACTTTCTGTAGAAATCTTACTCTACATCAGAGTATTCATACTGATGAGAAACCTTTTGAATGTAAAGAATGTGGGAAGACCTTTAGACGTAGTTCACACCTTATGGCACATCAAAATATTCATGCTGATAAGAAACCCTATGAATGCAAAGAATGTGGAAAGGCCTTTAAAATGTGTGGATACCTTACACAGCATCAGAAAATTCATGCTGGTAGAAAACCTCATGAATGTAAGGAATGTGGGAAGGCCTTTATTCGATCTTCAAACCTTGTTCAACATGAAAGAATTCATACTGGTGAGAAACCCTATGTTTGCGAGCAGTGTGGGAAAACCTTTAGATATGGTTCAGCCCTTAAAGCACATCAGGGAATTCATACAGGCTTGCAAATCTAAGAGTAGAAGGACTGTGACAATGTCTTTGGAGATGGCCCAAACTTTTTCAGCATCTTGACAGTTCATTTTGATGAGAAATGATTGAATATTAGTCAGATAGGTATAGCTTTAGCAAGTAAGAGACTTTATAATGCAACACGTGCTGCATTAGAAAGCATTCAGACATGGTGGTGCATGCCTACAATCCCAGCATTCTAGGAGGCCAAGGCAGGAATATCCTAAATTCAAGCCCATTCTGGGCAATTTAGGGACCCAGTCTCTCTCCTTTTTTTTTTTTCTTTTGTACCAGGGATCAAACTCAGGACCTTGCGCTTGCGAGGCAGGCGGTGGAAGCACTGAGCTAAATCCCCGGCTTTTTTTTTTTTCTTAAGACAAGCTCTCACTATGTAGCCTCAGACTCACAGTAATCCTGCCTCAGCCTCCCAAGTGCTGAGATTACAGGTGTGCACCACCATGCCCAGCAAGACCCAGTTTCAAAATGGAAAATGGGCTGGGAATGTAGCTCAGTGCAAAGGCTCTGGGTTCAATCCCCAATACTGAGAAGAAAGAAAGAGTGAGTCAGTGTCAGTCTTCTTTTAATATCTGACTATTCATTGACAAATTAAGAAAAAATAGGAATCCCAATTTCTTCTTGCCTATGTTTACAACATCCATGACATGGAGTTTTTTCTAAATGTATTAAATGAATAACTAAAAGCCTTCCATACTAGACATCAATGGCTGTGTTACAAGTTATCCCAACTCTTAATGTTTGTTTTTGTTTTTTAGGTACTGGGGATCAAACTCGGGTGCTTGCGCTTGCAGGGCAGGTGGTGGAACCACCGAGCTAAATCCCCGGTGCAACACTTAATGTTTTACTACAACAATAAATATCTCTCATGGGTTCTGTGGGCCACAAATTCAGGACCATTGGTTTTTCCCTGAGATTGTGGTCACGTAGAAGCTTGACTGGGGATGGAGAATCTGTTCCAGCAGGCTCAATCACACTGGTTGCTAGCTTAGTATACTATGGTTTGGATATCATTTAAGTACCCCCACTAAGTATTCATGTCTTAGTAGTTTGGTCCCCAGTTTGATGGTATAGAGGTTGTGTAGAACATTTAAGAGGTGGAGCTCATGCTGAGGTCCTCAGGCCAGTTGAGGCTGTGCCCTCAGAAAGGAGTGAAACCCCAGAGATTGTGGAACCTCAGTCACTTCCTGGACATAATCTCTTCCTCCCACACACACTCCTACAGCTGGAATGATATTGGCCATGAAATCCTCACCTGAGCTATACATTGGCCAGTACTGTGCCTTAAACCTCCAAAATTGTGAGTTAAATAAACTTCTTTATAAAGCTAGGTTGCCTCAAGTATTTCATTGTAGTAACAAAAAAAGACCAATACACTTAGTGAGAGTGTCAGCAGAAAGCCATTCTCACCCACCGTGGACTTAGATGAGGAGACTCTAGACTGAAGATTGGTCCTGTAAAGGGATGAGACTTTGGGGGATTCTTGAGCATATTTTACATGTGATAGGAATGTAAATAATGTACTCAGACTGCTAGTGGTGATGTTTTTAAAATATATCCACAAATTCTTCATGTTTCAAAACTGAAGCTTGATTTCCTTCCCTTTGAATACAGACTGAAACTAGTCACTTGCTTCTATGAAAAGAATGAATATTCAGGTAACTTTCTCACTGAATTTCTCTCAGTGATTCACTCACTGAATGATGTCCCACTTTGATCTCACTGAGGTCTTAAAGGGTTTTTAATAGTCATTTTGTGTGTTGTATGGGGAATAGATCCCTTGCTGTGGGAACATAATTGAGGTCCCTTCCTGCTTCTCTGAACTAATCATCATGTTAGTGATGAGGACAAGCTTTCCATGGGCTGTCCCCTGCCAGTTTTTTAAGCCTCACATAAGTATTTCAGGTTAACTCTTTTGGGACCCAAACTCCTGACCTGGATGTTGAATCAATATCCTATCAACCAGGCTTAAATTATGTTATAAGTACACTGCATTTTAATGAGTTTTCTTAACAGTTTCCTATCACACACAACCCCCCCACCCCGCCCCGTCCTTCAGACCTGTGAGCCTTGCATTATTGCCTGGGAACTTTTATTACCTTCCATGACTCTTTTTCCTTCATAATTAGTTACCCCAGTATCCTTTATGCATCTGATCCTGTGTCTTTTTGTGACTGCCTTGATGACTTGAATTGATTCAACAGATTTATGGCTATATCTGTCAAAAACATTATGCTGTGTGCTCATCCACATTATTCACCAGATCTGGACTGTGCTACCTCTGGCTCTTACTCAAAGTCAAAATGACCATGACCATGAAAGGTAGTTTTTGTTGTTGTTTGTTTGTTTTTTGGAAACCAGGGATCAAACTTGGGACCTTGCATTTGCAAGGCAGGCATGGCACCACTAAGCTAAATTTCTGGTCCTGAAAGTTAATTTTTTGTTGTTGTTTTTGCTACTGGGGATCGAACTTGGGACCTTGCACTTGCAAGGCAGCTGACGGAACCACTGAGCTAAATCCCCAGCCCCTGAAAGGTAGTTTTTAATCAATTCAGGATCTATGGTGGTGCAGTTTAAGTTCATGAGAAAGAGAACTTTTAGAAATGCTTCAGAAAGTGGCAAGAATGATCTGATACATGTGTTTGAAGTGAGGGGGAGTATTTTGAGGAGAATTAATGGCAGTGTGCCTTTAACTATAATAAAATTTTAAAAGTTTAAACATTCACTATATATTTTAATCACACCACATAGTTGTCACCTGGACATGATAACCCTTGCCTGTAATCCCACTACTGAGAGATAATGGGACAAGAGCATCCCAAATTCAAGTCCCATCTGGGAAATTTAGCAAGGTCCTGTGTCAAAATTTAAAAATAAAAGGGTTGGATTGTAGCTTTGTGCAAAGCCCATAGAGTTAATCCCCAGGAGCACAAATAAAAAAAAATAGTTATTACCTATGGGCGTCATTTTATCATTTGTAAAATGATAATCAAGAACCAACATGAAGCCAGGCGTGGTGGGGCACATCTGTAATGCTGGCACTTGGGAGGCTGAGGCAGGAGGATGGCTGCAAGTTCAACCCCAGCCTGAATTACACAGAGAGACCCTGTCTTGCCAAAACAAACAAACAAACAAAAAGAACTTACATGACTGCCTTTATGAGGATTAGTTAGTATACATACCTTGGAAGATTATTCAGCATGTAGTTTTGTGCCCAAATCATTTGTATTGCTAATGGTTTATTCTAAAAGGTTCTAATGTAATTTAAAACAGATTCTTAGAGCCAGTCATCTTAAATTTTACATAATTTTGGAAATAGAAGAATATGTAATATGTACAATGATTTAAATAGCCAATATTTCATATTCTATATTCATAATTTAAGATAAAGTAGGAATAATGGGATAGCAGAAAGCAAATTGTTTTCTTGGTGCTTTACCTAGATTTGTATTGAATGTTTTTATTTAACATACAAAAAAATTGAAAGAATTATATTGTAACTCATTCCTACATGTTTACATTTAGGTTGTTTGCTTTAGCCATCTCATTTTAAGCCTCTCTCTTTTTTGTGGTTCTGGGTTTCACATCTAGGACCCCGAGCATGCTAGGTGACAGTTAAACACTAGCTGTAGCTATATCCCCAAACCTCATTTTAACTCTTTATATCTGTTTATTATGAGTTATTTTTGTATCATTTGTGACTAAGTTGTAACTATCATGGCACGTCACCTGTAAGTATATGTGCATTTTCTGGATAATTGTGATAATGTAACCACAGTGGAAATTTTAATACTTTCTTTAATGTCCTCAAATATTCACCTAATTATGTTTTTAGTAGCTATTTAGCTATTTTCTAATCAGAATTCACTCTGAATTAATTTAATGCATTTCTTTTTTTTTTTGTACCGGGGATTGAACTTGAGACTTTGAGACTTTGCAACAGAACCACTGTGCTAAATCCCCAGCCCTTTAATGCATTTCTTTAAAGAAGAATTATTCTTTTTTTTCTAGGGGGTAATATAGTCTCTTTTTCATGGTTTTGATTTTTTTTTAACTGTCAGAGTGTTCCACATTCTTGATATATTCCTTGTGTTATGATTTAATTTGTTGCTCTGTCCCTCAGTTTTCCTATAAATTGGAATTTATATCTAGAGAACTCATCATCTTGAAATTAGATTTTTAGCCAGAATACTTCATGAAAGATGCTGCACATGTTAGATATTTACATGATTATTAAAGCTGCATTGTAAAACTTGCTTTAAGTATCAGTTGTCAGTTACTCATTCAAAAGGTCCATTACAGGGGCCAGGGATTTAGCTCAGTGGCTCTGACGCCTGCCTCACAAGCAGAAGGTCCTAAGTTCAATCCCTGTTACCAAAAAAAAAAAAAAGGTCCATTACATTGATACATTTATTTGAAAATATAATACCAATAAGGCATGTAGGAAACCAGGAATAAATCAAATTTTGTTGTTTTGTTCACCTATTAAATGGTACACAGTTAATAAAGGTGTGGCTAGAGGAAGTAGTTAATTTACAAAGCTAATGGAAAACCTCTGAACCAATATATTTTTTTAAATAATAGGCATCCAGTGCACACTTGTAATCTCAGCACTCTGGGAAGCTGAGGTAGAACTGCAAATTCAAGCCCAGCCTGGGCAATTTAGGGATTTAACAAGATCCTTTCTCAAAGTAAAAAACAATACAAAACAAAAAGGTTGTGGATGCATCTCAATGCCAAGCCCCTGGGTTTGATCCCCAGTACCACAAATAAATTAATAAGCAGTCGGACATGGTGACCCATGCCTATAATCTCAGCCCTGGGGAAGCTGAGGAAGAAAGATCACCACAAATTCAAGGCCAGCCTGGGCTATGTAGCAAGGCCCTATCTAAAAAAAAATTAAAAATTAGAAATTAAGGGCCGGGGATTTAGCTCAGTGGTTTCTCCGCCTGCTGCGC